AAGAAGTAAAAGTAAGTAAAGTTATCCCTGTACCAGGCCATGAAGGCCCATAGGGTTGAGACGTTGAGGGTCCCACACTGAGCTAGACAATCGGCTCAAAGATGGCAGTAAGGTTGTCAGCCTTATGTGCCAGCTGCGCTTTACTCCCCAGGAAAATTATTATTTAATTCTTGGTACTCATTTCTGTTAGAGGCTGAGTAAACCACAGAGGTCTCTAATGTGCTTGTTCTTACTGTTCATTGCAAGCTCATCAATTTTGTCTTTCAGATACTCCCTCTTTTTGTTCCTGAAGTGTATGCTGGTTTCACATCTTATATTGTTCAGATTATCCCCATTTAACTCGCTCGGATCCTGTAACCATTGCAATTTGGCCTGCTTTCTTTGATCTAATAATTTGAGCTGCCTTCATCGAACAAAGGCTTATGCTTCTTTGGTTCATAATAACCTAGACTCTCTTTGGCAGACATTTTTATATTCTGTCTAATAGTTTCCCAAGCTTTATTAACATCCACCGACTGGTCCTCCTTACAAAGTTAATTATGTTCCTCAGTCCTTCCTTTGCATTGTTGTTACAATACTTCCCTCCTCTGTTATTTATGTGAAGCCCATGTCTTGTAAAATGCTGCCTGTCAAGATTTACACTACAAATCGACACATGTTTATAACATTTCAGCCTTTTAGCTAGATGTCTATTAAATAATCTAACCTGTTTATTAACACATGACCAGTCAACTAAATCATGTCTGTGTAGTGCTTCCATAACTGTGATGTTGGTATGACTGGTCCTCCTTGCAAAGTTGATTGTGTTTCTCAGTCCTTCCTTTGCAATGTTGTTACAATACTTCCCTCCTAACTGAATCATAGGCTTTCTTGAAGTCTATGAATAGCTGATGTATTGTCTCATCATACTCCCATTTTTTCTCCAATATGTGACGAATGCAAAAGATCTGATCTGCAGTTGATCTGTTACATCAAAACCTACACTGATGATGCCCAATAATTCATCTATATATGGACTTAACGTTGAAAGAAGAATATTGGATAAAATTCTGTATTGTCGCGTATCGGGCGTATATCGCGACAAATAACTTCACGCCGAATTTTGTATAGCGAATTTTATTTCACATTCGCACTTACAATCACCCAGATTACAGATTTACGGTTACTGCTATCTGCAGTATCACAATTAGTACACTCGTAATGCCAGAATACCACTGACTAGTTGCTGGCTAACTCGGCGGTAGCTCCAGGACTCACTGACTGACTCAGTACAACTGACTGTGAATAGCCTTCGCTGCTCCTTATGTAGCCTCGATCGGACAATACGGCCACGTAATAGGCACCCTTGTTGCCTGGCGCTGTGTTGCTAGCAACGCTAGCGGTAGTAACCGCTGTTACTACTTGGTGACGTCATCGCTGTTGACTTGCGTTGCCTAGCGACCAGGATGCTAGGACTCGGCTAAAATCGGCTCGCTTCGGCTTCGCTCGGCGCATCACGGCTAGCGGGGGGTGGGGGAGGGGCGTCATCCATAGCTCAGCATGTCACAGTATGAAGTTGATAGCACTGATATCCCCCGATAATTACTACAGTCAGTTCTATCACCATTCTCATCCTTCACTAAGTTACTGCTATGCTGGTAACCCCTCTTAAAATCATTTATTCCTCTATACAGGTCTCTAATGTGTAACTGCACCATCGAAATCCCCCCCATTTTTTTTGCAGTATCTAATAGAGTTTTATAATAAGAAGTTACGAAAAAACAAAGGTTTAATTAAGACATACTGTAAGAACAATGAATAGGCTTGTGCGGACAAGGACATCTGCTAGTCCTTACGTCCAAGCATCTGGTGTTATTTTCTAAACAAAGGGCAGAAAGTGATACTTCAAGAAACCCCACTGAGATTCTTCAGAAATTTAGAAGGGCACTACAACGGCAAAACACTTCGAGAATTCGAGAAGTGACAGTTTCTACCAGACGTAAGTCAAAAGTAGGAGTGCCAAGGGATCATTAGCGAGCCCTCATATGTTGCATCGCTGTCAATTTAGACGTTTTGTCCTTTAGGGCGAAACTCCTTTAACACTTCGCCGACCAGTGATTTAAATACAGTAGAATTTGGTTATAACGTCATCAAAGGGACCTAAAAATAGTGTCATTATAAACGAATGTCGTTGTAACCAAAATGGGCACTTCCACAGTAGCCTTATGTTAGTCACGTAAAAATCTACCAAAAACTGAGTTAAAATGTTGCATTTTTTAGTGAAGTACGTAGTTAAGTACAGACTAACGTAACATTAACGTGGAATTGCCCAAATGTGTAATATCAAAGACATATTACAGCGCTTTTCACTGACAATACACACAATATTTCACGAATCACTTCAACTTTCTCTTCAATGCTTAAAACTTTCCTTTTCATTGCCATGTTTTCGCTACTGCACTTCTCTGGGTTTAGGCAGGAACACTATAGGGTAAGTAGACAATGTGAGGTCCTGTCAGACAAGATTCTAGGAAAGGAATGCAGTTAACAACCTGCCGCGTCCTCTTGCACTATTCACGCAGTCCCACCCCACACCCTTGTTTTCGCATAAAACCCACGCTCCTCTTGCAGCCCACGGTCGTATTCTTCCAGGACAGTCACGTCAGCAAGTAGAGAAAGTGAGGGTGGGCAGACACATCGAACTTTCCCACGATATCAGAGAAATTCAGGAATGAAAATGACGTTACATACGAGGTTGATGCATTTGTGCATGTCGTACTAAGCAAGGTATAAAAACAGTTGCTTTATGAGGAATTAGTTCGTACCATTGAATATTTGACGCAATAGACAAGGTGTCGCAGAAACCGATGTTGCTATAGCCAAGTTTTACTGTATTTAAATAACAGTGGGAGCTGGCGTTTTTAAACCTACTACCCTAACTTGTGCACTGTTCACTTTAAAAATTAATATAAAATCTCCTAATTCATTTTATGAACTAAAGTTTTTGGAGAAGACTTACCAGAGCTCCTAGAAGTGCTTCAGAGTGTGATATTTCTGGAAACAATCCCCTCTGTGAAGAAGCATGACGCAGAACTTGCAGATGTACGAAGTCTTGCTTCCCTTCTTGTGCACAGCGCACACAGGGCACTACCTAGAAGGATACTTCCCCGTCGATTGTTCACTCATCACAATTTTCACGAGGGTATGTTTCAGCATATCTCCCGAGAGTCACCCAGGGGGGTCCATATGAGGCCTCCGTGGGGTGGGAGTAGATGGTCCCGGTCGTACTACGAACTATCTCCAAAAAACAGTTCAGCTACTTCAGACACTTGCGTAGGGTCCGATGGCATTTGTCTCACCCTTGGATCACCACTAAACTTTCCCAAAGTGGGTGTTTTGTCCACTTTACCCAATGCGGCTGTCCCCGCAATGCTAGCACTCGCACTTTCATCGGAGCTCTCACTGTCACTTTCACTTTCACTTTCTCTTCTGGTCACAATATTTTGGGGGCCCCTGTCACTGCCACTGACACTGCCCTCGCTATCAGAAGACAAAGCAGTTGGCAAGTCAGATAACTCTTTGGAGATCAAATCACAGATTTCTTCTTCTCCGAGAGCTCGTGCGGCCTTCAACTGCTTTCGTCTCTGAGCCATGTTAACACTGAGAATATCTTGCCTCACACATAGAAGCTTCGACTTGAACAAAGGGACTTTTCTTTAGAGTGAGAGGGGAAAAGAGAGTGGTCACGTTGCTGACTCGGAAAACGAATATTCTGAAGGTCAGCTACACAGTACTTTTACAGACACGTGGCCACCAAAGCGAGGAATAGTGTGTTGCAACATAAAGTGTCCTAGAAGCCTAAATCTAGGCAACCGGTCTGCCACGTTTAAAACTCAAATGCCTAGGCCTAGGCATCAGGTCCGCGAAGTGTTAAAATAGTCTGTCATTGGCCGGAACCAAAATTAAGCCAACTCCCCTTATTTGAATCGGCCTATCATGGAAATTAGGAGGAGAGAACCTCTGGCTCAGCAGAGAGGTCAGTTCGAGTTTAGTCGTCTACCAACTTTTGAACTTGGCGGAAGCAAACCCCACATGACTCACGCAAAAAGTCGAACATTTTTGCTCTCATAACGACTCATAATTGCAGGCAGAGCCATTGAGACTTAGCTTAATCAACAAGAATGCAGCACCAAGGAATTTTGCGAGCTGATCAAGTACATTTTAGTGGAAGTGTAACACCCGCGGCTTGTCAGCCAAAACTAAATCAGGTTGTAAGAATTTAAGCAGCCAGTGTCGTTAGGAAGTAAGCTATACTTCACTGCTTGAACCATATCCACTAAGTGTGTAAGTCACGTCACCAATAGCTATTTCACAGAGTGCCTAAGTCCAGAGTATCAAGTCTAATGGCACTGATGAAAGTTGTATCATGTTAACTGTAGGAACAGCAATAAAGTGTTGTGGTCTAAAGTGCATTGTGTTGATCAGAGGTGTTTCACCCTCACTTGTCCGAGCCTGACGCATATTTGACCTGAAGAGAGACTCATCTCCACCATCTAGCTAGTCAAACCCACCACCAGCTTCCACATACCCACCCCTTCACCACTTACTATTGAATTGTAAACAGCCTCTAGCTGTTTGCTGGTGCCCATATTATTGGATCCAATCCTGAAATCCAACCAGTAATCACCACAACTGAAGGAAGAAGCGGTGGAGCCAGTTCAAGCCGAAACCAGCTACGACATAGCAACTTGAGCAGCAGAAGGGCCAATCGTCATCAACTACCACTCCCTGCACGACCATTCAGATGGAGCCGCAGGCAAAAAGAAAGGAGGGACGGTTATAAATGTTGTTCTTACTGTTCATTGCAAGCTCATCAATTTTGTCTTTCAAATATTCCCTCTTTTTGTTCCTGAAATGCCTGCTGGTTTCACATCTTACATTGTTCAGATTATCCCCATTTCACTTGCTTGGATCCTGTAACCATTGCAATTTGGCCTGCTTTCTTTGATCTAATAATTTTGAGCATCCTTCATCGAACTATGGCTTATGCTTCTTTGGTTCATAACAACCTAGACTCTCTTTGGCAGACACTTTTATATTCTCTCCAATAGTTTTCCAAGCTTTATTAACATCCACCTCAGTTTCCAAGTTTTCCAAAGCTGTGAACTTATTTGAGATTTCAACACAATACTGCTCTTTACCCTCTACCTCATTTAATTTCTTGAGATTGAACCTCTCCATACAGGGTCATATCAATTACAGGCAAACTAAATAAAACCTGTTATATAATTAGGAAATCCAAACAATACTTATATAATAATGTCCTAAAAATGGTGTAATTTGCCTTTTTTCATTCAGTAATGTCTTATGGCTTGATTTTCTGGAGAAATTCAACTCACAGTAAGCGTGTTTTTAGAGCGCAGAAGAGAGCTGTTCAATTAATTGTGGGAGCTGGAAAAAGAGAATCATGTAGAAGAATTTTTAGTCAACTGAAAATTCTACCTTTGCTCTCAATATACATACTCCTTGATGATGTTTGTAGTTGGTAATATGGAAATGTTTGTTGAAAATACCAAGCTGTATAAAACAGTAACTAGGAATAGTTTGAACTTGCATCTCCCTTTATCAAAGTTAACAGTTTTTCAGAAGGGTCCATAGTATATTGGACTTAAAATTATAACAGTCTCCCAGGTCCAGAAACAAAAATCAGTTTAAGAAAGAATCATTAACAGTTTTTACATTCACACTCATTTTATGATATAGATGAATTTTTTAACTACAGGGACAATAAAACTCATTAATGGGATTTCTTAATTGTATATATATATATATACTGAATATTTTAGATTATTATAATTATTTTATTCTTTTGACGTGTGTCTGGTCCAAGATGCACTCTGTTACTTGTTATAGTTGTAATGGTGCTGGAAATGGGGGTATGGTTGGCTCATTAATATTCAGGCAATTTATTTAATTTCTTCAATCAAGTTTTTATATTTGTACTGAAGAGATTTGTTACATCAATGTTCTCTTTGAATCCTGTAAATTCATTAATTGATGTAGGTGATTGTATTTATGAGACTTATGTAATTTTGTATGAACACTGTTAAATGGACTATTTCCATATCCTGGGTTGTACCTATACATGGATACACAGAAAATAAATGAATGAAAAAAGATGAAGAAACCACCAAGAAGCAGGTAGATGGAGGCCACATGTTCCTCCTAAACATCCGTTGACTTTCAACAGACTATAAGGTGCATTTCAAAAGTTAATTAATTACCACTGGATTCTTTTCTGTATACACTGAAATAAAGCACCAAAAACATATTTACATGATAGGCTGGGAGGAAAAGAAATTTCTCACAGATGAGCCAAGTACCCTATTTTTATTTGACCAAAAGGTTATCAGTAGCAGTGGATTCTGGTGATTAGTAAGGCTTATAAATAACCACTTTCAAATAACACATGTAATGGTAACTTTTTATCTTCACAACTGAATAACTATTCAAACTGGAAATCTCTCTTGTTCCACTGTCCAAAGTTGATGCCTCACCATAATGTTATGGTTGTTCTATTGGAAACATGAAAATACCACTTCCTAGCAAGTGTCATTAGACAGCCTAATAAAAAAATAATTAAAATAATAGGAAATTGAACCCCTTGCATTCTGATTATCAGATCTTGTACTTTCATACTGCCATGATAATGTTAACAATTCCTTCTAGATTAATAAACCTGATTATTATGGGCAACAGTGGCGTCTTTCACTTGGGTATCATAACACTCTAAAAAAAGGAAAAAAACATGAGTAGGTACCATTCAAATTACAGTGACTCTAATACATTTCATATCACACAAAACCTGTCACACTTTTAATTGCCTTCGCTTCGTCTTGCAAGGACATAGGCTGATAACAATGGAACTCCAATGTAAAGGACGCTGTGCCTGATGTTATAGTTCGAAGATCAGTAGAGTAACCCAAGAGTTCAGATAGAGGTGCAAGTATGTCAAAAACTTTGGAGTGTCCTCTACTGGACATTTCTTGTATTACTGCTCTGCGACGGGAGAGATCAGCCAGCACTGCAGATGAATTCTGTTCATTAGTAACCACTTGCAGGTTCATTACTGGTTCCAGGAGGTGGGTCCCATCTACCTCCAAAAGCTTGCGGATACACTGTGCAACAGATGCTGAGATGATTGTATCAGAAGTTCCCTTGCCCACTTCCAGCCAGTGTAACATTACCTGGACATTTACTATAGGACAACATAATTTCGGTCCATGTGCCATGGCAGATTCCACACCAAGTTTCACAGCATGTAAGTGCTTAAATGAAATGGCTGCAATGTTGGCTGCACTATCTGGGCTTTCATCCAGCAGAAGAAGTTCTCGCTCTTCACTGTCATTGGGTAGGAGAGAGAGAGTGACAGTAACACTGTGAGTACTGGAGCCAATCTTGTGATTTACTGTGTGTGTGTCCTTCACCACATTGTTTATTGTTTCTTTGTATGCAATCTGTAGATCCCCAAGTTCCACATCTATTTTATATTCTGATAGAATACGGTTCTTAATGATTTCCAGGTGCAATTCCCCCATGCCCCCCAGAACAGTTTGTCCTGTCTCTTCATTCTGACTCACATGAAGGCTGGGGTCCTCCCTCTGCAATTCCTGAAGTGCATGTTCCAATGCAAGTTGGTAGGACTTGGATGGAGGTTCAATTGAACAAAAAAATACTGGATCAGGAATTCTAGTGCTTATCCCAAACAAGTCATTTGTGTCAGTCTTCTCACCAACGCCCCTGAGCTTCAACAGCTTCTTTTGGGCTGCAGATGCTGTACTTGCATTGGATGTAACCAAGTCACCAACTGTGGTATGTTTAAGACCTGTAATGGCAGCAATATTTCCATGGTCAACCTCAGAAACTTCCTCACTTTCATCAGCAAATGCAACCATCAGCTTGCCAGTTTGTTCAGTCTTTCCTTGAGTGATATTATATATCTTTTGCCCTTTATTAAATTTGCCTGAGAATATTCGAAAGAATGTTACAGGTCCTTTCTGATCATCATGAATGACTTTGAATGCTCTAGCAACAAGGTTGGATCCAAAACAGTTAAGCAGATGTTTACTACAATCACTTGGGGATGGCAAGAAATGTATCACTGCATCCATCAGTGACTGAACACCCACATTTTTATATGAACTACCACAGAGAACTGGAACACCTTGTTTTGCTAGAGTTACTCTTCTCAGAGATTCCATGAGTGCATTGGATGGCACAAATTCCAAACTTTCCTGCTGTATGACAAGTTCTGCTAAATTATCATCCAAATCAGCTAACTGTTCAACCAGTTTTGCCCGGGCACATGAGGCTTCTTTCCACAATTCTTCTCCAGGATCTAATCTGATTCGTTTGTACGTTAGACCTTGTTTGCTGATGTCCCAAATCAATTTATCCAATGTGATTAGATCAATGACACCTTTAAAATTACTACCACTTCCAGACTCATAAACAGGTAATTGAACTGGCAATGGTAGAGTACCCAGCTTAATATGAAGAGAGTCAACACACATAGAGAAGTCTGCATCTCTCCGATCCATCTTGTTCACATATATAACACTGGGAATAGCATATCTATCTGCCTGTCTCCACACCGTCAATGTTTGTGCTTCTACCCCTGCTGAACCATCTAAAAGTATAACAACCCCATCCAAGACCCCAAGAGTCTGTTCCACTTCCATGGTGAAGTCTATATGACCTGGTGTATCTATTAAATTAAATCTGTGCTTATTCCACATAAATGTGACTGCAACTGATGAAATTGTAATCCCTCGAAGTCGTTCCTCTTCCATGTAATCTGTAACCGTGTTCCCGTGATGAACTTCTCCCATAGAACTAATAGATCCGGCATAATACAACATCCGCTCTGTGGTTGTTGTCTTACCAGCATCTATATGTGCCAACAATCCAAAATTCCTAATAAATGAAACATGCTTACTGACTTCTTCATTGCCCTGTATTGCACATTTCTGGGAATAATGTCTACAACCACGAAACATCCATCTAGATAACGTCCCACACCGCAAGACATAACCCTTAAACATTGTAATTCAGTACTCTAAAATTAACATTTGATAAAACAGCACAGCTTCCATAATGTATTATATAGAATACGTGTCAAGAAAATTGTATGTCCTGTCTTTTAAGCTTCAACAGTTGTTCGAAGGAATATGTAAACTAAACAACAAACGCCCAAACATAACCTAAAACATTAAAAACACACACAGGACCGCACAGGAACCTCAGAACCAGGTGGACCAGGGGGATGCAACTCAATGCTTTTGGTGGGCAACATAACCGCCGTGACGTCATGAAGCAACACTGCTGCCACGGTGCCCGGAGACAGCTCTCTTGAAATAAAAAATGCCTGCCGCCAGTGCCGAGGGCTCGGTTGGTAAGAAGGTATTCTATCATACCACCTGCCCTGTCGGTAAGAAAGGATGCTATTATACCACCAGCACTTTTTTACTGCTCCCTCTCGAAAAATCACTGGTTCACATGTATAGCTAGAATTAATAATCGATGTAAATGAAATGCTCATATTTTACAGGCACTTATGGGAAACTTTCTCCAGATAAATAATGTTGCAACCTGATATCTTGTACTGCAGAGGTTCTTACTCCGTTGTGTTTTTTCTGTTTTTTAACAGAGTTCAATATCACTTCGCTCAAAACCATGTGGAGGGAATGAGTTAAATGATATTAAACTCAGTTCAAAAACAGAAAACACACAATGGAGTAAGAACCTCTGAAGTACAAGATATCAGGTTGCAACATTATTTATAGGGAGAAAGTTTCTCACCAGTGCCTGTAAAATAAGAACAATTCATTTACATCAATTCAACACCCCCTTACTGAAATTCGATGGATATTTGAACTGTAACATATATAGAATACTTGTGTTTAGGAAAGCTCATGGTGGGTAAACTTGAAAGAAAATTCTGTTTCCATCAGAGATACTTGTATTCAACTTCATAACTTTGCTTACAACTTATAATTGAAAGCTACACAAAACATAGCTTTTCAGTTACATTAATGTGTTATATATCATGTATAGGAAGTAATAATACTGAGGTTTCTATTTGTTATTAATTTCAGTAGTATAATGAAACTTGAGAATCTGATACACACTCTTGTTAACAAGATGAAGATTGCATTTAATAATATACAAAAAGCAATAAAATAATTGCATAACTGTTACAAACCTTTTTTTTTTATTTCGTTCATTCTGGTCCTACAAAACTATAATTTTGCCCGTGGTTCTTTATGGGTGTGAAACTTGGTCTCTGACATTAAGGGAGGAACATAGACTGAGAGTGTTTGAGAACAGGGTGTTGAGGAGAATATTTGGACCAAAGAGAGATGAAGTGACAGGAGGTTGGAGAAAACTGCATAATGAGGAGCTTCATAACTTGTACTCTTCTCCAAGTATAATTAGAATGATAATGTCTAGGAGGATGAGGTGGGCAGGTCATGTAGCATGAATATGGAAGACAAGGAATGCGTATAGGATATTGGTGGGAAAGCCAGAAGGGAAGACCAAGGCATAGGTGGGTGGACAATATTAGAATGGATCTCAGAGAGATAGGATGGGATGGTATGGATTGGATAGATCTGGCTCAGGATAGGGACCAGTGGAGGGCTCTTGTGAACACAGTAATGAACCTTCGGGTTCAATAAAATGCTGAGAAATTCTTGAGTAGCTGCAGAATTGGCTCTCCTCAAGAAGGGCTCAGCTCCATGAGTAAGTAAGTAAGTAAGTAAGTTCATTCTGGTCCGTCACACTAACAATTAGAAAGACAAAAATAACTCTGTCCTGCAAGCCACGAACAAACACAAATGATACTAAGAATCTCCTTCACAAGATAGACAGGCGGCACAAGTTTTGGCCCCCTCCAAGAAAGACGATAGGAGAAGTGACATGAACCTGCATCGTTTATACAATTTTGACTTAAACAACAAAGTTTTAATACCAGGAAGGCCGCTGTGGTTGTGAAAAGTTGAATATTGTGTATATTGTGTATTCCAGGCATTGTGTGTGTATGTACATAGGGAAGTCAAAAATTATCTGCACTCAGTTTTCCAATCCATATATACAAAAGTATGGGTTGAACAAGTACTTCATTTTTCTGCATAGTCTCCTCCCTCTTCAATGCACTTGGTCCAGCGGTCAAAAAGCTTGCATATTTCCTCCATGAAGAAGGTTTTCGGTTGGTCATGCAACCGTTTATGCAGCACTTCCCCCACTTCTTTGTCCATAGAAAATCAAAAACCTCATAAAACATCTTTGAGCAGTCCAAAGAGATGATAGTCGGAAAGGGGGAGATCTGCGCTGTAGGCAGGGTGTTCCAGCACCTCGAAACACAAATGGTTAATGGTTTCAACGGTCTGGCCATCCTTGTGTGAGTGTTCATTGTCATGCAACAACAACGCTTCAGATTGTTGGCCAGCAAATCACTGTATCTTGCACTGTTGATCGTACACCCTTTTTCCATGTAGTCTTCCAGTATAGGCCTTTTTGAGTCCCAAAAAAACGGTTAGCATCACGTTTCCCATGAAAGATTGAGTCTTGAATTTCATCTTCATTTGCGATCCCGGGTGTTTCCACGCCATATTCTGGCTTTTGGATTCTGGCTCATAGTGATGAACCCACATATGAATTTCAGCCCCTGACACACCTTCCAATCAGAGAAATCGGAACACTATTCTTTGTTAATCATTGGTGCACACTGCTAGCAGAGCGGCCATGTTTACACTGTCACAGCATCAAGGAAAATGATGCAATCAAGGTAAAACTTCGATCACACGACCACAGTAGTACAAGCTTTAACAATGCATGCATAGGAGGCAGTGTGACAAACCTAAAGATGTGCTATGGAGAAAGTGCGGATAATTTCTGACTTACCTTCATAATTTACCACTCAGAACACCTATTGTGATAGTGGTTTCCGAATAAGTATTGATGTTCCGTCTGAAGATGATCCGTAAGGATCGAAACATGTAAGGGTGCTGAGTTTTCAAGTTGTAAAACTTAAATAGTCACACTGTATGGAGTTGTTTTTGTCTTGTCTTACACACCTCATGATCTGAAACATACTCATGTTTCCAAAATAATAAATTAACTGAACAAATATAATGAACCTTGAAAGTATTATATATATATATGTGTGTGTGTGTGTGTGTGTATATATATGTGCCCCGGTCACGGTAGCCGAGGGGTATGAGGTGCACTGTCTTCGCTCGCTCGGAGGCG